AATGCCTCGTGTAGATGCTAACGGGGGGGGTATGCAGTATGTAGCTTGACAGGCCGTGCGGACTTGGTAAGCAAACCTATTGAAAAATGTACTTCTTTTGGGATTGAAACGTGTTCAGACAATGAAATTTTTGTTTCCACAGAATTCTTAACTGACGGTAGAAGCATTGGTGAAATACGCTCAAATAGTAGAGAAGACCTGACTCTAGTGGCGACGGGCTACAACGCCCACTTCCCTGCCAGAACGCCTACGCTCTTATTTTGCATTGAATCGGTTAGTTCACATACCAAATTTGTCGCTATAGTCACTTTCCAGTGCGTGAATATGGAACCAGCCGCTTACATATTTGCAGTTAGTACGAACGCTTACTAGTACCCAGGTGGAAGGTAATGACGCGTCCTTTTCGGTGTCGAGTCTGTATGACTACTTGTATTTGTAGGGTCTTTTGATTGAAGACCAGGAACCTAGAAGTGATTAATCAGAATAGACGAAATAGGAAGGGTTACGTAGTCGTAGCTAGGTCTCCGTACGGGTGACAGACTAGCAGGTGGGGTGGCAGGAAGCGTAACCGTCAGTAGGATCACTCGAGATGATGGTTCGGAACAAAATGACATCAGTTAACTACCATTGTCACCAGTATCAATTAAATATTCCGTTCAAGATTGGTAAACAATGAATAAAAAATTGATACTTACCAAGTGTCCCTTATTGTATCAAATTGGTAGGCAGTGAACACACCACTATGCCGAATTTCCCGAGCAGGTACGCACATTAGGAATTCATGCGGCTTTGTCTGGGAACATCTGTATAACTGTACTGATTTCGATAAAATGCTAATATGATTTGGTGATCGCAGACAAATCACGCAGAAACCCAGCAAAAGCTAATAACTTGGATAGCCGACTGTACCCGTTAACCAAGCTGGTGATTTTGAGCGTCTACCGTTCATTAAGGAACAGGGATTCCAAAGGAATATGGTGATCAAACCTTTTTCAGAACTGTGGATGAAAGATTCGGGGTGGACTGATTTGGAATGTATGGAACGCCGGCATCTGTGTCAAGGTACTTAGGGCTGGTAAATGTAGTGTCCATTTGTATGGGAACCAGCAGATGGAGAAGGACGCTGTGAGTATGAGAACCGGAGGTTCGAATAAAAGACAATCGCCAGGATACACTATGGTCTTTGATCAGCTAACTGATAGAAGTGTATAGTGTCAAAAATACGTGCTACCATGTTTCGGTTAACGTCAGCCTCACCCATAACATGCGCAGCATTCGGAAATCCAACCAGAATTCAAAACCCTTTTAGGCTGATAGTGGATCCACGATTTCAACCATATGGAGACCTTGTAGAAATTGCACGTATGATATTTCTGAATCCAAGTTTAGGACTGCCATTGTCATTTTGTTTCCGAAGCCTAGCTTACACCTCTTGAGGACCACTAGAAAGCACTAATCGCCTGCTCAATTAGAATGTTCACCAAAACAAAAGAGGGTACACTTTTGACATACGGAAATCAAACGGGAACAAAACTGGTCGTTAGGGGCAGGCAATGCCGAGTATACCTTCGGGTTCAATCGCAATGCTGGGAATGACTGAGGTTTACTTTACCGTACATCGACACCAAGATCGTGTCGCAATTTAAACACGTGATGGACCGTGACGTAGCCAACGATCAGTCCCTAATCGGTGTAATAAGTCATTCTGAAGTGCTCAGTGACTTAGTGATAGAAATGTGAGTCATGAGTCACATGCTGTCGAGTTCCACTCTACAAGAAGAGTTAAAATAGCGCTGTACCACTCTTGGAATGTGGGTTGGCACAGAGCAGCACCGAGGATGTCTACAGTGTCAACAAAGTGCATTTGCTATTTGTAACCGTGTCACCAAGTAAGTCAGACGCTTCTTCGTCTTAGTGCTAGACAAGAGTTATACCGTTTACCATGATAACGCACACTCGGCGTAGAGCCACTGAACAACTCTCGGGCACGGGAAGCTAGTTAGGTAAAAGGTATACGTTTGGAACCATTAGTTATGTGTGAATCGATTGTAACGTGCAATCGCGATTTGGATTTCGATTTACAATGGGGGAAACTGTCGATTCGGTAACTGAAGCCAGGAAAGCGGGGTTGCGTACAGGCAACCACTAACATTTAAGAGTAATGCGCCTTAAGACAGTATAATGAGATGCCGCCTGTTTCTCCAGCGGGTGCTCCGTGACCCATAATGCTGCGAAGTAGGGTGCCAGATGTGTCATGGCGATACATCGGCTTGTTTCTCTGAAGATTTTGCGTTTCTGCCTAATTATGAGAGAACGGAGTTCGTTAACCGAACGGTCCGAGTGAGGAATCATGGCACGTCTGCATCAAATCGTAACTCTTTCCTCATGAAGCACTGCACGTGCTGGCTTTGCCGCTGTTCATAGGTATCATGTAGCACCGAACTTCGGCCATGATATGTGTTTACTGGGATTTTTTCATCCTGGCTTCATCATCCTCATGTCACGTTGAGATTGTTCACCAAGCTGACGATGCCCTCAACCAACGGTGCCCTGTACTCAAAGCATCGGAGGTCGGGTTCATCCTAGATTTCACCTTGCATAGTAATTGCATTGTATTGAAAACATGACGTACTAGCTTTATTTTTCAGCCTATTTTTTAACTAAAAAACGACTGGATATCAAAGGATGAATCTCCTGAATATTGGTATTAGGAAGTAAAGCGAGAATTATCTTCATTTAAATTGTATCTAGAAAACAAGGTTCATCATCAACTGTCTACAATACTGGAAGCATGTATCAGTAAACTTATTGTTCCCCACTGATAGTGTGTGTATTATACGCATCACTTCGTTCATGTTCGTGTGTTAATGTATGCTGATGGGTATCGTAAGCAAGCATGCGAATGCATTTCTTTGCCACAGATATGGTAGCGCTTTGTACAAATTTTATCCTACATTGATTGTAGTCCACGAGACGCCGGTGATTGTCGGAGTCAACAGTGAAGTAAGTGGGAGAGTCAGCAATACAGCGTGCCACAGACCGACAGCAGCAGGTGCCTTGATTCGAATCGGTTATCAAGCGGAGCTTTGTTGAATTCAGACTTGCAGACTAGGAAGTCTAGCTAACGTTTCTTCATTCTTTACTCCCCGTGCTGCATCGCAATGGTGTAAACTGGTGGGCCATGAGGAGTAACTGTGAATAGAATACCTCTCGCATTTTGGACTGTGCGTGTTTTCCTGTTTGTTTGCGCAAACGTGATCACCGTGTCACCTACTGTATTTCGTTCAAGCGTGGAGCGTTTCTGCCAATAACAGAGAGGGAGAGAATCGAGAAGTCGACCGAATAGGTCATCCTATTAGTAGCATTGCCTTTTGCCAATATCTGCTACCAAACTGCTACCCCTTCCGTCCTGATGAGGGCACCTCGACTGGTGACGAAACGCCAGCCATCAAATTGCGAAATTGGTGAGTGACAGTACTACAGAACAAGTAAGTTGTGCACGCAATCGTTCTGCAGAATCATGAGTCCCGCAAAACTTGACTACAATCGGGTTGCGAGAACGTGTTTGTTAAACGGTCTACTGTTCATCTAACTGTGACAGACAGGTGTTAGTTCTTTGTCACTAATACAGAAACACCGACGCGGTTAGCAAACTAACTGGAGTTCCGCATAATGGAACTAAGCTAACGTCAATAGGTGGACGGCGTTAGTATTGACGTAACAAAGCACGGAACTCTCTTAGACCACGTACTGTGAAATCTATCTTCAAGGAAATTCACAAATCCATTGTGACCACACTGTTGAACTCAGTAAACGAGCATCTGGTACGCAGCACTGTCTCGCTGAAGAGAATGATTGACGTCAACTGAAATCGTGAATCCCTTTTCATGCTCTCAAGGCTATTCATTACGGATGATAATGGCTATTGTATTTCGCCTAGGGGTACTATGTAAGAGCCCTGTTACATCTATTGAAGGGCTGCAAGGTAAATCAACGTGGTTGGTAAAGTAATCGGAAATACATGCTGTTACTTCGGCACACAACCCGAAAATATGTGTTTTGTTCTGCTCTCCTAGATGAATGATTATTATGCTCGGAGAGCAGTGCAAAACCCACACTCACATCCCGAGTTACGGATATTCTCAACCATTTCAGAAAACCTGCGCATGCATGCCTGTACTCAGACTGCAAAAGACGGTAGTAAACAAGACAGCTATTTAAACGACAGGAGATATTAGAATGCACCATAATGAGGAGAAAAACTTTGCCTGCAGAGACGGTGGCCACCTATGGTTTGTCTGATGAGGGATAACGAGTGCAAATTAAAACTGTCTTCAACTGATCTGACGAGTCCATCGTTGGTAAATTTAGGCTGAAGAGGGCGAAATGGATCTCGGGGTAGCAGCTAACATAAACTGAAAACAGACCATTGCGAAGCACTGGTAACCGCATTGTGGGTGAAAACGTTACGTTCTGTCCTGGTGATGTGGCAGGAGACTCCTATACATCTGCGTTAGAAAGCCAACTGTCCAGTCAATTCAATACCTATGGGTAGTCGTCTTTCGTAGGGCCATTGTTAGGAGAAAGTTCCGCCGGTTCTTCCTTTTCGTGACAAATGTCGCCCGATTGGTGACATCTTGCGGGACGATAAATTGGCAATCTCGAACCTCTGAACTGTATACGAGGCTCTACAATTGAAATCCAAGTACTTTGTGGGTCGGAAGGAACTCCGTCCACTCCACCTTAAGTCAACACCGACCTGATTCCTCTATCTGACCCAGCTAAGAATACACGTGCAGCGGAAGCGGCGTGCATCGACCAGTCATGCATCAAGAAACAGCCAATCAACAGTGTTGTCCGCTGTCTCTGTAATTGGTCAACAAATTTTGTCCAATCACCAGGGGGTTGGGTTCTGCCATGCTGAATCCATTTACACCCGCTGTCCATTCCTATTCGCTCCGTGCCCTCGCCAACACCGCTTGATTTGCCTGTTCGCAGCCATGCTCTTCGATCCCCGCGAGGACCGCTCTGCATGCGGGGTTGGTTTCGTCGTGAATACAAGAGGATGCCGCTCAAGCACAGTGAGTGTTCCTGTCCTCTGTATCAGTTTCACTTGATAGCCTGCTGATTTTCGTCAGTTCGCTACATTCATTTTTCCCGTTTTAAGCACCGTTAAGTCCGAGCTTCGTCGTTTTCACTCTACGGGTACACTATTTACTTGGTTAGATCTATGACATTCCATCGTAAGCAATCGCATTTATTTCCGGAACTGAAGTCTTGAATATTTACCATTTTCCAAGTGGTCACCGCGGCGAGTACTTTATTTCCGCTTTTTACTGCCTGGTCATGTTTACTGTTTGTGCATGCAACTAACTAATTATTAATTATCCCGTCGCATTATCGCTATGGCATAGCCCGATTATTGCACTTAATTACTCCCTGCCGACCGAATACCTTATCTAGACGGTTTTACCCATTCGTATAGGGATACATTACTTGAAAATCAATACCGTGAATTTATTACTCCGGTCACCACCTTTTACTCAGCTACCATTCGGTGGCAACTACGTATCCACCTCATTTTCCTTACCTGAGCAGCTGCTCCTATTCTCTTATGGGATATTTGAGATACCCCATTGTACAAAAGTGCGGTGGGAATGTTGTGCTCTGCAATTAAGAGAAGCTGCAACCGAACTTGTTCTGCTGTGTCGGCAGCATTGTGGCTAGAATGTGAAGTAGGTGAAAATCTTTTTGGTAACCTCTGCTCGCAACATGGTTCTCTAGTTCCTGTGCTCGAGCCACTTGTGAGCTACCTTACTTAATTCACAGTCTAAATTGAGACTGCATATCACAGTCTAAACGCATACACTTGTGACCCACACTCACCAGTGAATGATGGAATGGCTTTTCTTCCTCACTCCTGGCCGTCTAAGGTGATTATTCGAGCTCCTTAATGGCTTCTTCGGGTACAGTCGGCAACCCATAAATGAGCGTAGCATTTCCATCGTATCTTTTAACACGTCAATCTTTTTAAAGTAGTTGGTGCGGTCTGGCCAGATTGAATAGACCCACAATGCATGTAAACGCTTGTTGCTTTCTATGATTTACGCCAATCCGGCTAACCTCCCAAACATGGATGGTTGCGCACCGTAAGGCAAATACGATGCAGAATAAACATACCGAGCGTCGCCGATTGTCTTCCCCCTACCAGCTGCGCTTCCCAACCCGGTAGCTATATTTTAGTACAACTGTGTTTGTACCTCACCCAACGTCCACATCAGTTCTGTGCTCCGGCACATATCCCCGTTCGTACATGTGCATGCCGCAGCAAACTTTCTAGTTTGTCGGTTGTTCATTATTTTCCCTATTTCTCATCCATGTACACTTTCGAGCATAAGCTGTATCATTTCGTCACGTAGATCCACTACCGTTTCGCATCTGTTGAATTTGTTTTAGTCGGTCCCCATGTTCTCGAGCCTTCATACTTCTCTCAGCCGTTCCCGGATATGTAGATTGTCTAGCTGAAACAGTTACGGACTCCACGCCGTTCCCAACACCTGCTCTAATTAGGGCGGCGAGAACGGCATGAATTGCTCCGTCAGTGTGCCTACCTTGCTGGGTCCGCATTGCGTGTCATGTGACAGGAGCAGCGGGCACATGACCCTGGATTGCTAACCGCCTGGACATCATACTTCGCTGTCCAGCTACTGGGGCATTTGCCCTCTCATGCAGAGGCGCTGTCCAATGAACTCAGGGACAGAATGCATACTGGCTGCGGCGTAGCACTGAGCTCAGTTTCCCCCGGCTATCCGTACCACTGACGCACTAACTGGTTACACGATGTTACATGTGCTTCCATTTTGTCAAGAGGTTATAGGCCTGGGGGTCTGTCCATAGTGTTCGCATCCGAACAACTCAATCTAAAATGAGGCCTGTCTCGGTGCGGCTGTCAAGAAAATCGCTTTAATATAGTTTCCTAATTCTCAGCCTGTGCTTATGTCAGTACAAACAAATTGGAGTCCGCCTTGAGGTCTTGATTACTACATTCGTGAAGTCACTTTGTCGTTTACCGAACCGGATTCCCTTTCCTACGCTTTTGTTTCCATTTCACTCAGATAGCTTGTCTCAAGTGTATCCATTGTGTGGTGTTGGTAAGTGACCTGGAGCGTTCCGCCAACAACTAACAAAGCACACACTGATCTATCAAATAGAGCCATTAAACTAGCATTTTAAAATCTCTTTGTTCTACTGTCCAGCGTGCTGTCTGGTCATTTTTTCTGGTGGTTTTTGTATGATGACTGACAATTTGATCCTTGGGCTCATAACGTCTGTAGCCAACAATTTCTTATCTGTTAACTGTTGCTGTTCATGTGCTGTATCTTTGAGGGAGTGGAGTGGAAACTTGACTATATTCCTTGACCACAACTAATGTGGGTGGGTGATTGGTAGCGTCTCTGCACTAAGTAACCTGGTGTGGCTGAGGATACCAAGACCAACTGGTATAATTGTTTAGTTCTCGCCATGCAATTCAATGAGCACTGCTCAAACTGGATACAATGGTTCATTTATCTTTTCTCTGCATCCTACACTCCGAAACGCAGCGTACGATGGATATGCTAATCGACAGTGGTGTTCTTTCTTCTGATCAATAGCGTGTCAGAAACTTACCACAATAAAGCACCCTTTTGGCGTACAGTTCACATAAGGAGCGCTTGGATCGCTTTTTGTGTCCTGGTATTTTCGCTTATGGACATAATACTTCCTGTCGTCTATATCAGAGTCACCAAACTTTTTCACAGCAGGCCGGATGGCCAACAAAATGACGAGCACGCGTCTCATTAGCTTACTGTGGAATACTCGCAAGCAAAACGAAATCCGAGCAAACAAAAAACTGAGTTAAGTATTTCATGTTAAACATGGGTGTATGGACTGCGATATACCAAAAGCAAAAACAATTTACCTATTGATTAACTCAAAACTGTCAACGGAGGTGACTATAGCAAAAACATAGTTGCCTCAAGCGTTGTGTGTGCACATTCGAATAGCACAAACCAAGCAGCAATAAAGCTATGTGAAACTGAAGTTCCATGCATAATACTAACCGATGCCAGCCTTTCCGTTATCTGAAATTCCGAGTAAACATCACGAATCAACGCGAACAATTGTGACTTACTCGAGAGGTCAGTAAACTTATCCAGCGTTAGCGAATACCACAAACGTTTTTGGCTCTTTCGTGTGTTTGCAGCACTTCTAAGATTGCCGAAAGGCTGATAGTTTTAAACAAATCGGATTTCTCAGGACGTCCTTTAATAATAATAGTAATAATAATAATAAAGGTATATTTCTCGTGTTACCGAGGAACCGAGCACACAAAGGAACGGATCATATTTACATTGCGACGTGCTTAGGCATGCGAGGCTGTCACTTATTTAGATTTTTACAGGGTTTACAATAGAGATGTTTTTGCGAATATTTTCATTTGGGACTTTTGTCGCCGTATGCTACCAGTTCGCGGGCATTCTCGTTTGGTTGTTTTCGGTGCAACTCGGTGATGCCATGATGGCGGCTGTTTGATGTGGAGGGAAGGGAGTACGAAAAGGATGAAACAATTAGATTCACCAATCAAAATCAGCTGCGTAATACACAATCTTGCTTAATAGACTGGAGTAATACGGTTGGAGCTATTTGTGAGTAGCAATTCAGGGAGTTGCGAAAATAAGGAAAACACTATATTAAGGTAACTCTAGTGGATCATCAGACAAGTTGCTTTATCAGAATACTATAGGTAGTAGTCACATCGTAGGGATTTAAGGCATAGCGTAGTTTCTAGACATTGCTTGGTCTAATTCTGGAGTTGAACAAATCAAGTTGTGTTTTGGGCTGCCGGATGGTTGAGATGATAGTTGAGCTCAGCTGTATTACTTTCAGCCTTCACTTGTAGATGGATAGTTAGGGTGTACATGATCATGCACGGCAAAGGTAATGTTGTAAAGGGAGACTTAAACGGATAAATAGACAAAGAAATAAGCTCCTGTTTACTGTGGTCAGGACTTATTCAGTGGCTTGTAGTCTTGCAGAAGATGCCAAAGACAGAGTGATTAGGCAAGTGTGCAATAGTTATGCGGTTCTTGGTCTAGAGATATAGAGGAAATGCACCACAACTAAGAGCGAGGCTATGACCTAAGAAATACGTTAACGTGTAATATCGGTATGATAGTAGGGCGGTAGAGATGAAGTAACTAGGATCCAGGAGCCTAACAGATTCGGTGCAGAATGAAGTAGGGTATGAAAAATCAAGTGAAGTAATACGGTCATTCTTGGAACCGTCTCCCGGTGACCTGCTTTCATGCGGGATAGTCCCTCGGGAGGTTTCACCCACACCGGTGTGGTTTAAAAGCATGTTGGCGACTACCGATTTTATTCATTATTTGGGCAATTGTATTTTTTCTGTTGAGCTAGTTACTCTGACCAGTCAGCCCTTTCGTCATTCATCGTTTTTTTGCCTTATATGCCATTAAGTGTGAGTTCAGCAGTGTTGTGCCGCCACTGACGGCTTCATCCCACTACCGCATGAAGTCGAAAGACGAGCCAGAAAGAGACTTGTATACATGAAATCACATTTGCCTACATAGTTTTGAAGGCAAAGTAAAGGGAAGCTAATAAATTACACTTAGTTAATCAACAGACGGAAAACCTCAAATGCAACGGGCGAATAAGCAACCGTGTAATCGAGAACGAATCCCATATGTCCTTAAAAATAGCATCATGGGACCCCAAGCGTAAAACGAACATCCATTTACAGTGACAGTCACTAGCTAATCAGAATAACGAAATGTAGCGTTTAAACAAATGTCACGAAATCACGACAATAAGAAGTGCAGACCTAACAATTAAAAACAATAGTGGTGTGTCAATTAAATATTCCTTTAGCATAACCAAGTAGAAAAGTGATGCGAAGAGAAGCCAATGGAATGTGTTCTTGCAAATGGCACTGCTGAAGATGACACGGCGATGAGCGTGCAGTAACAAGCGGACTAACACAGTGAAGCGTTTAAACAACAGTCAAAAGTAGAAAATAGGA